ACAAATTCATTCCGTACTTGTAGAGAACCACGATTTGTGGATAAGATGTGATAGATACTCATAATTACTATTTATGAAATAAAAAATAACGTTAAATTTATTTTCGTAATCTTTCATTACAAAATATTTTACTACTGGTAATTTAATAATTTGAAAAGGTACCTAGTCATTTTAATAAAAAAAAGTTACCTATTGATTTTTTTCTGTAGAAAATTCTTGTCATAAGCATCTCATAGGGCATCATTTTACCTGATAGCGTCATAAGTTCAACAATACTTACTTTTTATCTGTTGCTTGAAATATATAAAAATTCTCTGTATACGCTATACGTAGTGGTATTATTTTATCTTATTTGAATCATACAAAATGTCTGTCTTTGTGATTTCGATTTCCGTCCATTCAATTTGTTTTTAAATTTTCCATAATAATTTGTTGCATTTATGACTCGTGAAAAAACGTGACATGTGTCTCTAATTCTAATTTTACTATTTTAGAACCTAGAAATGTGATTTTGACAGTCTTTTATTTGTTACTTGAACTTAAACTTTGTGTTATTGTAAAACATTTTGTTTGCGAATGTACTGTACTGACGAAGTTTGTGTATTTTCAGAGAGATTTTTCGCCTTTGTTTTCTAACGTTCCCATATATATCGTCAGTCGTGTTTGTATACCTAGCTATAATCATCATATCATTATAGAGATATATGTATGTACTGTTAAGCAAATATTATTCTAAACATACCACAAAAAACGCATTGATTCGGGAAAGATCATTTTGTCGTCAAATTATGTAGTTTAAAGCTTGTTTAATTCAGAGATTTCCGAACTTCTGGGCCGTTGGACGACACTGTAAATCCGCAATTTTTATAAACTACCTACCTACTTACATTTTTTCATATTCTTTGCCTTGCTTACATAGCGCATATAAATTTCTACGTCCTTGTGTGTGATTCAAATTGATTCGTATAGGCTCCCATGATAGTGCGGGCTGTTTTCGAATACAATGAATCTGAAATACCTTTCGCGTGGTGACAGTATATTATCATCCTATCATATATATCCCCACTGCAGAGTTGCAGTAGTTTCCTCAAGATGGAGTACCATGAACCATCATACTCGCCCAGTGGTGTTAATAATTATTTGGACGTAAAATATTTTTTATTACAATCGCTCTTCTCGCTGTATGACTCATGAATACAACTGTTCAAAATATCCAAAACTTTATAATGATATTATATATTCTAGCGTATAACTGCTACCGCTCTGCTAAAGAAAATACCAATGATAATACCAACCTGTTCCTAGCAAAGCTTTCATTATTTTGAATTCGAAACTGTTCTGGCAATTGGCTTAATCTAGTATATTATCGTTAAGATTCATAATCGATTGACAAACAATTAACTGATGAAAATATTATTTCACACTGAAATATAGTTTTCTTGGGTGAAAGACATTTTCAGCGCATTTTTTTAAAATATTTAATATAGTAGGTAGTCAGTACATACTATAGTTATCTCTCATAAATGTTTTTATTAATATATTAGGATAGAATATGGTACTTATTTGATTAAGAGAAGAGGCCATAATTTCCTGTAGTATAAATTGAAATACTTTAAAGACGGTATATTTTCGGTAATATCAGGTGCTAGGTAATGTGTGTAAAAAACAAAAGTAGACAGACGCAGACGTGAAAAAAATAACCCCCAAATTATTCATTGTAAGTTTGAAATTTATAAGAACTTTGTTTTGTGAAACAGATTAAGTAGTGTTGTAATACTTTAGATTTATTAAATGGTATTAAATCTATTTTTACTTGCTTTGGTGATTTTTATTCATTTTTAGGGTTCCGTACCTAAAAGAAAAAAACGGAACCCTTATAGGATCACTTTGTTGTCCGTCCGTCCGTCTGTCAAGACCGTTTTTTTTTCAGGAACGCATGGAGGTATCAAACTGAAATTCATATCTAATAGGTACTCGGGTCTGCTGTCCCTTGGAGCTGTGAAAAAATCAAAGTTCTAAGCCAAAGCAATCAAAAGATACAGCCGTTTATGCCGCAAATTTTCTAAACTCGCATGGGAATCAAAACCTACAAGGTACTTCTTGTGAACTTAAAATCTTGAAATTTGGTACGAAGTAGCGTCTTATAGTACAGATAAAGGAAATATTGCGAAATCCATTACATCATATAATAAAAAATATTTTTGAAAATTTAGGTTTGTACAGAACCCTTGGTGCGCGAGTCCGACTCGCACTTGGCCGGTTTTCTTGTCATTCGGCTATTAATAGCATTCCGCAATACATAAAGCAATATCTCAAAATACGCTGAACCTGCGGTTACTCTTTAAATATTAAATAAATTGGTACTTAAGTTGTTTCCAAATTTTCCAATAGACTACCAATTATTTACTAACATTTTAATAGATACTCAACAATAGGTAATATTTTTACAACTAAGTTCAGTGAACAAAATAGTTTTATGAATACACTAGCTTCTGCGACTTTGAGCAGCCTATCTTCTTTCCCTGAGTCCCATCCCATCTATTTTGTTTTGTCAAAATGCATCAAAATTGATCCCGCGGTATAGGCACGCGGTGAAGGCGTAAAGGTCAGACAGAGTTACTTTGAAAGGCCCTTGTTCTGTACACATAGAACATAAGTATATGTAGGAAGTTCTGAAAGGATAATGAAATAATCATTATCCTGCAGTGTTCTCCTGCCAATAACTTGCCACCGCACTAATGTTATGAGACCGTAAATTCGGACATTCTTATTTATTTGATGAACTCTTTAGAGCTCATTTATACAAATATGAGAGTAAAACTCCCGTTTGAAAATTCCACTTAGTTTTTGAGATATAAAAATTTAAAAGTATTATTTTTTTTCTCTTTTAAAAATGAAAAAACAATCTTACTCTGTAACTAATAATATTTTGTTTAGAAACGTTAAAGTACTTCATAGAACTCTTTAAACTACACGTTATAAGTGTTTTAAGTGCTTCGTAAACGCTTGCAGTTAATTAGAAAAAAAGATTTTTGTTTTTATTTTTTTCTTCATTATACCATAATATATGCAAACTTTTTCAATCGCAAGATATAGTCTGATATGTATTCTAGTTGTATAAAAAAAATCAGCTCAAAATTCCGTGGTATATTTGAGAAAAAAAATTAAACCTATTCACAAAATTTTTACGCGTCTAGGGTTGACACATGTAGAAGTAATAAATTCATGTCTAAAAAGTTACAAATAAAAATACTAATCGAATTCCATCTGTTATATTCATAGTATTTAAAGGTCTAAAAATTGATATTCGGCGCCTGCAGTTGTTTTTAAATTTTATTTTATATTAATGTAAATTTATTTTCAGTTGATAAAAATGTTATTTTCACATGTTAGGACTGTTGTATCATCACTTGGGTCTTCGACCTGATTTTCGATACATTGTTCTGTAATATCGAACTAATATCGATCAATAGATTAAGCTTTTTGAGATCCAATAAAATTAGCTCATCAAAAAGAGGGTCAAATCTCGGGAAGGAAGATAATAAGCTGATATTTTTTATAAATCTATGTTATGACGTTTTAAAGGTTACCTCATAAATCTCATAATCATATAAGATCTAGCTTCTGCGTCTTAAGTTATTCAAGTGCGAACGGGAAAAGATAGTAATAGGGAGCGAGATATTTATAAGAACGGGTTTTTCATAAATATCTCGCTTCCTATTCCAAGGTTAAAAGCTAATTTTACTGGGCTAAAGTATTTTCCACCGACATTCGACCTTTGTCATCTCTGGCATTGTCTATAATCGAACACAAGATTCAATCTTAATATGTGTGATTTTAATAAAATATTTAAACCTCCAAAAGAAATATTGCTTTTAAAAAGTTATAATAAATTTACAATTCTATGCATATTTTCAGTTTGTTTTTTCTCAAATATACGTTAAGCCGTTGGTCCCGGCTGCATCTGCAGTCGTTAGCACCCGCCAATCCGCACTGGGCACCCACCACGTGGGTGGGTCATGGCCCAATCTCCCTATTCCATCCATAGGGAAGGCCTGTGCCCCAGCAGTGGGGACATTAATAGGCTGATGATGATGATGATCCCATTTACTCCATGCACATATATTTTTGTATTCTGCCTTCGAGGATGCATCAATTGACAAGGTTTTGGAAGACTGAGTATTGGCTTATCGCCCGCTCTCTAAAGTTCTGCTAAGATTCCAATATCGGCCGCCGCCATTCCGCCTTTTTGTTCATACTAATCTCATACAGGTTGTTTATATATTTACTTAAAGTGAAATTTTAATTTTCCAATCCAGTATGTGTGTGCGTAAGGTGTAACATAAATTTATTTATTCTGGACATCTTACACAATATTTTTATGTTATACACACAGGGCAACTGCCATTTGTGTCAATTTGGGTTTATTATATCTCAAGGATACACTTAAACTTTGGATCGTGGGATTTTTTCGATAAAAAAGTGTTTTCCTAAGTGCTAACATCTGAACTTTAGGTAAATATGCATCCGATTATACGATCTCTAGTTTTATAGTACATCACAGGTAAAAGGGGGGATTTTCCGCTCGAATTGGAGCCCCCGTTTGATAAAGTGTTTGAAAATAATCATGAAATGTTTCATCGATTATAGTTGATAATTAATACTGATAATAATCGGTAATTAATAATTGATTAAGCACATCACTAGTTAGGCAAAGTTCCATAAACAATGAACATAGGGCTGCGTTCCAAACCTACGATTTAAATGCAACTTTTTACCCTAACGTTTAAATTTTGACATAAAATGTATGAAGCTAATGCCAACTTTGACATTTGTTGCACCTAGCTAGACTAGTGTATGTTTTGAACGCAGCGCAGCCCCGGATATCGCAATGTGATGTAAAGAAATTACAAAAAAACCGAAGTAAACAGATGTACACTGTTTTGTGTTTATTTATTTCTTTTTCTATATTTCTGCAGTTTTCTGTTTATTTATAAACAATGGTGAAAGCGTGGTACATGGACGATGATACAACAAGTGATCAGCGACTGGAGCACCACAAGAATCCCCAAGAATTTATATTACTCGAGGAACTGCTTATGAAAACTGGAGTAGAATATTTCAATGTAAGTTTTTGCGTTATATAATCACCTCTTAGGCCCAGGAAGTACAGTTTTGCCAATATATACCCAAATAAAATATTTGTCTGCATTAAATTCTTTTATCTAAATCACAGATATTGCAATGAATACACAGACCATAAAGGAACTATATCTTGATAACCTTGAAATGCCTTTGTTATCACAAGTTCCACATGTGCCCATGCCAGAGAAGGAAAACATATTAAGCACTTCACTTTTTAAATTAGATGAAACATATTCTTCCTAATAAACTAAACTTCACTAATTATTCTTCCAGCTAAATGTTGACACATATATGTCAGATGGAGTTCTGGATCAGTTGAAGAAGGAGCGTGGCTACACATATGAAGATGAAATTGTATGCTCAAAAGAGTGCCTGCCAAATTATGAAGAGAAAATCAAATCATTCTACAGTGAACACCTTCATACTGATGAGGAAATACGGTTGGTTTTACTTTGTGTTGCTAGATTTAAACTTTATTATTATAGCTATGTTTTTATTCTTATTCTGGCACTCTGCTATTTTTAAACTTGACAGCAGTGTCCCCTTTTCTTTCCCTATAATGCAAGCTAAGAATACACTGTTATCAAGTTCACTAAAAGCAAACACTAAGGTTTGTATTACAGAATGACAAATAACTGTATTCAAGTAAAGATTGATATGTAGTTGTTATTCTGTAATAAGAGCCTAAGAATGAGGCCACAAAATTGCAGGATTGTAGGATTTCCTGCGGGCCATATCGATAAAATTTTGCATTGTGACATCACATTTTTTGCAAACACGACATCATTTTTGCGATGCTTTGTTGAAACGTAGTGTAGTGGCCTCGCTCTAAAAGCCATGTTAGTTCTATCATTGATGAATTTGTAGTGTTAAAATGTGCTTGACATGTTAATAGTCATGTGTTCCTGTACTAGTGCTAGTTTATAGGCACTTTTGTCACGGACTTGCCATATGGTAAATGATCTGTGTACAGCAGGTGTCTGTACTGAAAGAACACCTATCAATGTTAGAGAATATGATGACTATTGTAAGTTAACCTATCATATGTACAAAGTCATCAACTAATGCCAAATGTGGTTGCATTATACCGACACTTCACCTGGTTATTCGTATTTGCTATGAAAAGGACAGAATAACCAAGTGAACTGCATTAGATGTGATATTTGTGTTGATTTATATTAAGATCTGTTGCATGGTAAAACTAAAATGATTTTGAGAAGTGACAACACAAATCATATGTTATGGTTAAATAATAATTTTATTATACTTGTTATTTGGTGTGAATACAATAACCTAAAACGTACATACTAGGACATGAGCAAGCATAATTATTTATTAATATGCTCATTCATATCCTAGCCTATTATTTTATGTTTATGAACTAATTTATAAAAGAAACATTTTAATAATACTTGCAAAATAAATTTATCTGAATTTACTAACTGAATTAGTTTGAACTATTCGCTATTCTATTGCAGTGATTTGCTATGTATACATTCACTATTTTTTGAGGATATTTTTAGATATTTATGAACTTATTTATGAATAGAAGTTACTTGATGCAAAGTATACAATAGCGCCATCTAATGGAAACACAGTACTCCCAAGACTACTAAAGCAATGAGGTATAATATGTAGACAGGTTATACGCCACCATTATTGCATTTTAAAATGGGACAACTAGTCCCCACCCCAACTTCCCTTGGCAACAGCGAACAAAAGAGCACACTAGTCTCTTTCACTCTCTTGCATAAAGTAGATTACGTCTCGCTCTTTAGCCTACACGTGCAACGGTGTCAGCAACTGTCAAAATAAGCAATCACTAAATATTTTTACATTCATTTCTTTTAAACGTGCACTTACAAATCAAATGATACGTTTTTCTTGTCTCTAATAGCTCACGTATAAGTTGTGTACTATCTTATAAACACACACAGGGCTTTTTATCTGGAAAAACGGAAAATATCAACACGTAGCGAAGAGTAGCCGCGGCGTGCGAGCGTGCCGGACTGAATGCAAGTTGGGCAATTACCTGACTTTCGTATTGCCAAATTATAAGCGTGTATGACATATCTATGACTATAAAACACCCTAGTACTGACAAGACAAGTGCTTAAAACTATCCCTGAAATGTTTCAGGTTTGTCCTGGACGGGTCGGGCTACTTCGACGTGCGAGACGGCTCCGACCGCTGGATACGTATAGCGGTCTCCGCGGGTGACATGATCGTCATTCCTGCGGGGATATACCACCGCTTCACACTTGACACTATGGTTGGTATATAATGGAAATTGCTGAATGAAAGTATACATAGATTTATGTGAACTTTGTGGAGGTATGACAATACCGACATAATTTAACGAATAGGATATTAATGGAATGGGTTTATAATAAAGTGTTGCCGAGGCATTTGTTATTTGATTTTGAACTACATATTTGTGTTCTTTATAAAAGCATCTAAGGCATTGTTTTATCTTTATAACACAGAAGCGTTTTTGAATATCCAATTGTGACTAAAGCGTATTATGGTCATGCACCACAATTTAAGCGGATCACTTTTGACCTGCGAGTGCCTTATCTTCCCTTTTCGTTTTCATCTAAGGCTGAAGTGTAGAACTGTACATTTTTGGAATTTACTCCTAAAGAATTGATTTGCATATATGAGAAAAATGGCCCGGTATGAGAAAAATGTGAGGAGTAAAATCTATCAATGAATGACCTCGTTACGTTTTTGGTGCGCATCCTATGTCGCGCAACTTTGACAAACAAAGATGACGGTTTGACATTAATAAAAATTTTAAAATCTGAACTGAATTTAGGTATTGTTTCTGATAGAGCAATGGGGACAACGAGGTATGGTACAACCATTGATGCGGTATTTTCAAGATTTGTGAACCACGTATCTACGAATGTCAATGTGTCTTATTTTAGTTACCATAAACCACTTGTCACTGTAATTAATAACGCAGACAATGTTGATTTAATTAATATTTAAAAAAATGATAATAGTCTGATAATAATAATTACATAATTTATCAACATTCCTAATGATATATTTATGCACATCTGATATTGACTATTGTAAAAAGTTTAATGTAAAATATTTCGTCGATTAGTTATAATACATTTATTATAATTAATATGAAATGAATAAATATATATTTATATATGTATATTATTTTCATTAATTTACCCTTTCATACAGTATCAATCTTTTTTAAGTTAAATAAACTCTTTTTGCGTCTGGTTAGACTATTGAACTTAAGGAGTAAACTCCAGTCGTGCGTCGGAGCTGACACACACAATTTTTTTTATATGTTGTTTGTGTCCAGAATTTTATCGTGTAGTTGTGTCTCACTTAATGCTTTAGTTGACAGTTCTATATACCTTGCTGTATCTGTTTCTCAGGGGTTGCGATATGGAACAGACTCTGTTTGTCTGTATTATAATTGGAAGCATACCGTACGGTGGTCTGCAAAGGAAGGTTCATTTGACACGTGCCATCCTTCGATTCGATTGGACGCCACGTGTGTCGCTAGGGTTATATCTATGATCCTTTGGTACCTAGAGCTAACAAATGTGGGCTCTGTGCCAATATTCATGATGTTAAGGTTAGTTTGGAATATGTATTCAGTTAACAACTCATCCCTTTTGTTTATGTCATTACTTCCCCGCAGTGAGTGATTTGCGTTGCAGTCAGCCACTACAATCAGCTCCCATTTGTGGTCCTCGCAGTGTCGTACCAGTTCGGTCAGCTCCCTCGAAGGTATTTCACCCTCATTCGGCATGTAGACTGAAGCTAGTACCAGGACTGATTATTTGTGAGGATCATCACAGATATGAGGTCTTTAGAACAGAATTGGTTAAGCATGGTTATTTTTATGGACTTGGGTACAAAAATGCATGTCCTTGGTTAATCGATGGACGTGTTAAAGTGTAATTTACCACCGATGTTATTCAGACCGCAAATCTTCATCGCTAACGCTGACCTCAGAGCTCAGGCCAGCTTCCACTTGGGGAGCTGGGGTGGGTGTCAGGATCGCAGTGCCTTCCTGCTCTGTAGTTGCACTCGACGTCGCTACTGTCAGGTCAGCCGGTGTTGCTTCGTATGTCGTAAAAAGCGAATGTCTCCTCTGCCAGTCATGTGTGCAATACGGCGTTCACTGTCCAGTATGGGTTGTTTTCAATACTCGGGGATTCCAAGGATTAGGTGTATCACCTTCTCCTAAGAACTGCTCTCCGGTTTGTTATCAACGGTCATGTCGTAGCACTGCCAGGGGTTCTGAACACAAAGGATTTTCTGCAGTTTGGCAGACTCCGTGCTGCGGGTATGGAGAAGAACCCAGCTCTGAGTTTTTTCCTCACATCCGACAGTCTAATGACCGTAATGTGGGGTTCGGTATGAGTGACTGAATGGTTTTCACCATTTGCTCGAGCCACTTGAGTGCATTCTTGTCCTCACACCACATCGCTAGCATCCCGTCCAATAGGAAGGGTCGCCCGCAGAAAGATGGGGCCTGCACATTTGGAGACTGCGGAGACAGAACTGCCTGCAGGATACCATCGTTGATGGTCTCCTTCAGCTGTTCTGGCTGCTCAGCCGAAAGATCCCTCGGCGATACGGTGGTGACCGCAACTCTCAGATGCGATTTACTCACATCTGCATAGCTCACCGTTAGCTTCGTCCTCGGGTCGGTTTTCGCGCGCTTAGCATCTCCCCGAGGAGATTGTCTGTCGTCCAGGCGTGGTCGCTTCGCAGAAGCTGCCTGGTCCAAACCACACCCAACCCCAGGCTGCTCCTTTTCAGGAGCAGTGGGAGCCTGCGCAGCGATCCGCCGACCACGAAAACCCCTCGGTTTCGGTCTATGTCATGGTTGTTTATGTGTTTTGTTTGTCAGCCTTATGTATTTCTACAGGCTCGCGCTGTCTTTCCACTGCTGCGGTGGCCACTGCTAGCCGCTGGCTATGTTTGGTCTTGTTTTGTTTGGGGCTGCAGGGCTTCCCTTCTCGCGCGCTGGTTGGGGCGACTGCGTTCTGTTTGGCCCTGCGAGCATTCGTGTGAATGTCTGTGGGTGGCCGCCGCATTAGTCTCTCTTTTGCAGGGGCGCTTATGGTCACAATCCACTGGGTGACTGTTGGTGTTATGCTTGTTGTTGTGGCCGTGGTTATAGTCTCAGGTAGGCCAGACAGATTCAGGCTTGCGCCCTTCCCTGAGCGCTGTTTGTCCACCCCAGAATACGTGGGATAGACCAAGCTAAGCTTGGTGAAGGATTCTTCGCGAATCGTGATACCCTCCTGGGGTACTGTATCTTTTTTAGCAGCACTCATTGTGGTTGTTGGGGTTTTGGTGGGAAGTGCCAAGTAACGCACGCGACTCCTGCCCCACGGTGTGTAGTACAGTTTTTAAGGGGGTATTTAGTTCCCCTAGCAGTGGTGGACAAACTTTTTGAATGGCGGGTAAAATTTATGAATTTATTATGGAAGGCATTTAGGGTTGAAATTGTCATATGATTAACAGTCATTTGTCAATTTCAACTTTTATACCTACTTTTTAACATCCAATCTTCAAAAGTTCTTTTTTCAGACCATATAATATCCAAATTGAAAACCCGTCTGCGGGCCGGGTGTGGCCCACGGGCCGTACTTTGCCCACCACTGCCCTAGGCTTTGTGAGCCCGAGTGTGGATATGCGCCGCCAAGGTTTGGCTATGAGGGATTTGTGATACGGCCAAAGGTTTCTGTTATGCTAATAACAGAAGGTAATTGGCCAAAACGGGCGGCAACCTCGTGAAGGGTAGTCCACTGGCCGTTCGCCAAACCCAGTATTGGACAGATACTGGAAGTAGGGGATCATCAAGCAAGGAGGATATTAAATTTGAGTTTCTTCTTTGACCATCTTCCGCCGAACAACTATCATCAACATCAATTATTTTTTTTATCTGATATATATATTTTTCTTATTGTAGAACTATATAAAAGCGAAGAGATTTTTCATCGGAGAACCAGTGTGGCTGCCATACAACAGGCCAGCAGATGACATGCCATGCCGTCGGCAGTACCTCGACAAACTCTCCGAGGGATTTGTCACTGCTCACTGACTTTTAATCATCTTCTCACAACACCTACCATTGGATATTTGGACCTGAAAAGACCATTCCATTAACGCCTTGCATCCATTTAGTCATTCTGGTAAATGCCTAATTGAAATACCTATTAGTTATATTTCTATTTTTAAGCATTTAACTGCTGTAATATTTAAATCTAAAGAATATTTTATTTTATTATAAAATAAAAATTTATTTTATAAAATATTGAGTCAAGGCGTCAATTTAAATAACATTATATAAATAAAATTTTAAAACATAAAAAATCTATCTAAAACAACATATTTATTACAGATTAAAATATCAGAAACAGATTTTTTTAATGATATAAAAGTTAAAACCCTGAAAACTATATCACACTTGAAATACCAAAGTTTGCTCAAACACGGAAACAATATTTTTCTCTTATCTGTTATAAGCTAAAACTGTTATTTTTCTAAATAATAAGCCTTTAAAAATATGTAAGTGCATGTTAATTGTATATACTATTATAAAATATACCTATTTTGTTATAAAAGAATGTTGTATTATTTAATTTGACGATATATTATTTTTTGAATTAATTGTGTTACCATCAGATGGGCGTAAAGCTTACTTGAATGTGTGGCAAATAAGCTCTAGGCCAATCACATAAAAAATGGAAAAAGCAAATAGGAAGCTTTTCTTACTTTTGAAAAGAGGTATGACGCGGATGGGTCGCGGACATGCCTCTTTCGCGTCTTTTTCACACAAAACGTAAAGAAGTGTCGCTTTCCAAAACATAGAATAGACAGGTCGCGGACACGACACTTCTTCATTTTGTATGACAATGATATTGAATACCCTAGATACAACAACACGAACAAAATCATGACTGAAACCTATCCAAAAGCTTCGTGAGATGATCGCGTAGTCAAAAACAAAAGGTCTTTATTTAAACGCATGCGACAAAGAGTTATGACAGTTCGAAATGCAAGCACGTAATTTATCACTTGTTGGAAGAATATAGACTTTTTTTTCATTGATTGTACGCGTAATTCTGAATGCTCTGTTAGCAATATAGCAGGTAAGGACCGCGAGGAAAAGAGACGGCTATATAACCGATCATACATTTTAACATCACTAATATTTTATACTAGCTGTGCATTTATTACCCGCGGCTTATTAGGTATATTTTCCCGCAGTAAAATGTAGCCTATGTGTTAATCCAGGCTGTCAGCTAACTCCATACCGAATTTTATTAAAACCGCTCCAGCCGTTTAGACGTGAAGAAGTAACAAACATACACACTCACAACTTTCGCCTTTATAATATTAGTGTTATTAAATCAGTTTATAGTTAGTATTAGAACAAAATTTATTTCAAAAGCGTTAAATTTACAAACATTGATTAGATACCTGTCGAAAAAACTACATTCTACGTACTACAAGTATTTTTTTTCTCTGCGGCATCTTGACTTTTCTACGGTCCGCGAGTGAGTGTGAATCAAGAAGTGCTTGAGTGGTGTTCAAGCGCTTCTTGATTGGGACACATTTTGAGCGGTTGTTGTATGAAACTGAAATGTCCGCGCTCCTTCTGTCTTACGTCTATGCTGTGTGTCCCGCGCCTAATGTATGAAGTCGTCACTTAAATATTGTCTAGTGCAATAAATATGCATGACCTATTGGATTATTTATAAGTGAGACATCTATCAAATATACATTGGGTAAAGTGTAAATATTAAATAAATAAGGCAAGTACAGCATTCTATTGTGTTATTAACGCTAAGTTAAATTTAGAGTAACTTAAGGGAGCCTTTGCGAAAACGTGAAAGATTCCTTATCAAACACGTAGTAGGTTCTATCCTAGTTGAGGTAATAAAATATGTTGCTTACCAAAATATGGATAACACTGATAAAGCAATGTTTAAATGAAATTGCATTTAAAAGTTCAGAAAAGTAGTATTCAAAAAATAAAGAGGTTTTGATTAAAATCATAACAAAATCAAAGAGAATGGAGAACTATGTCATCTTCTGTCAACAATTATCATATTATCATATTTCTTGCTTGTGCAATGGAGATAAAATGTTATTAAAATTTTACGTCAAGCCAATGTTATACTAAACATAATGTAATAATAAGTGTACAAAAATGCTCCCATTACCAGACCGTGACACGTTTTATCCCATCATTACTGACCATTAAAATGATTGTATAACGAATCTACGTAAGTTCATATTTTATATTTAAAATAAATCTAATATTCAGTAAGTATTAAGTAAAATCTATGTTGGTATCATAATCATCCTTAATAGAATAAATCTTTTTCCCTGTTAAACTTATTTTGGGCAATGAGGTGCTATCTACCAATAAGGCTCCATCTTCAAGGTGACAAAAAAAATAAAATCAAGTTCTCAGTTTATAAGAAGAATTAAGACAAAAAGCCATAACCCAATGCGATGAAGAAATATTTTTTACTCACTAAGCCCATCTAATGAAGTACCTAATCATCATCAGCCTATTAATGTCCCCACTGCTAAGGCACAGATTAGGGAGATTGGGCCATGACCCACCACGCGGGCCCAGTGCGGGTTGGTGGGTGCTAACGACTGCAGATGCAGCCGGGACCAACGGCTTAACGTGCCTTCCGAAGCACGGAGGAGCTCGAGATAGTAAATATTTGGTCACCCATCCAATGACCGACCACTGCGAAAGTTGCTCAACTTCAACGACGAGCTCCTGCTACCTACCTACCTAAATGAAGTACCTACTTGATCATTAAAAAAGATCTGTATTGTCATCGAAAAAAATATATTCCTTCATGTTTAATTTAAAATAAATCCCTGGGCTAGAGGCAGTCTAAGCCAAAGCGGTCGTGGATCAGCACACTCCACTTACACTTAACATAAAGTTTAGTGAAGTTATATTTATTAGAAAAAATCAAGTACGACTCGGACACGCCTACCGAGGGTATAAATAAATTTTGTAGGCACGCAGAGGTTCTGTAAATTAAAAAGTACGTGATCCGATTCTGGCGTAGTGCTTTGGAGGGCCTTTAAACTGTTGGTCCCGGCTGCATCTGCAGTTGTAAGCACCCATAAATCCGCACATAGCTCAGTCGCCTTATTCCATCCATAGAGAAGGTCACAGAATGGTTTTCTATTACGTCAATAGGTTCATAAAGGCATTATTAAAAATAATTATCTTTTCGATCCTAGGTCCCATCATGTTCATCTTCATCCTATGGTATGCTGCTATTGCCTTCAACTATCTCATGTAAGTCTTCTCTGCGCTTTCAGCTATCATTATACTACCGTAATAGAACAGTTTCTTTTGTAATTTTTGTTCCGTGATTTTTGTTGTATTTTCTGAATAAATGCGGTGCTTAGGTACTATTTGACTAATGTCATCAAACTAAGAGTATTCGATTCGTTCTACAAGCTGTTTTGATACAAAAGTTGGCTACATAAAATTCGCAAGCATACACAAAGCATTCATTTATAAAATCACTAGACTTAGCCTCTTCTGAAGAAAAGCCTCCCTAGCTCAAAGAGCGAATCAACCACAGGGCTGCCATTCAAATGTGCACTCTTCATCGTGTTTTGTTGTGTCTTGGTCAATTTTACATAATTTTTTAACCAATTTTAATATTAAGTGTCGCCGCCCAAAGGGCCATACCCCACAGCCACAAACGCCGCCACGAGAAGCTAGATGCGGCTACTAAAGTGGCTGAAGCGCGCGACAGCGGCCGATTAAGGTAAGGGAGAGAGGGGTGGGGGATCGCGCGAGTGACGTGTGGCGGCGTTTTGTATCGGCGCATTAAGTGGCCGAATCCGGGCCACAAGAAGCGATCAACGACGATTTGAAGCGTGTGGCGGCCACCGGCGTACCGTGTGTGGCGAGTCCATATAAAATGTATGAAAACTACAAGAAATATGCCGGTGGCGGCGTTTTGTGGTTGTGGTCGGTAGCCCGTGTGCGGCGACACTAAAATGTAAGAAATGAAAAGTTGAGGCTTTTGAGAGTTTTACTCTCAAAAGTAGTAATAGGGGAGAGTGGGGATATTGCGGACACTTAAGGGAAACCTTTAATAAAACATAAACTTTTAAAGCTAATCAGTTCGTTTTTATTAATTAATAAACTTTGCTTATTACCTTACAAAATTAACATATAAAATTATTAGTATCAAATCAACATTTATATTTTTTTTCAAAAAAACAAAACCCTTGCTGTCCGCATTTACCCGACGCCTTCCAGGTAAATACGGACAGCGGGTGGGGTAATTGCGGTCAGTCTATTTCTCCTTACACAAGTCGCAAATATAGCCTCGGCTTGAGCTTCCGCTTGTGCAATTTTCATGTGCCCAATTCTGACACACTCTGCACATTACCCAATCTTCAGTGGGGGGCGAATAATATTTTTCATTACAAAATATACAGAAATATTCTGTGTCATCTGCATTATCTTCAAAATTTCTAAGATTTCTCACACCCCTCTGCGACTTTTTCTTTGGTTTCGTAGCTTTTTTCTGTTTAGTTGTCGTCTTCTTTCCTTTTCTTACTCCTGCTTCTTGTTTGATTCTTTTTTCTACCTTCTTCAGTTCTTTCTTCTCTAATTCAATTTTTTCTGGAGTATCAGTAACAATTATGGAATGTTTCTTTTTCCGATTTGTTTTCTTGCTTAAACGCTTTATGGTCGGTATATTAACTATGTCCTGTAATGGTACAGAAGGTGGTGGGTTACCATGTTGCTCTGTTGAAACATCTGGATGACTGGTGTCATTGATAGAATCATCAATATTAGCATGTGCAACAGATTGAATTTCAACTTGATTTGTGATTCGGGGTTGGGCTTCGGAATTATTTGGCCTTTGTGCTTTGGTTGTACTGGCATTTGTCTGCTCATTTAAATTGGGGACTTCTGGTTCATTGTGAGTACAAGAGTCATTCAAATTTAAGGCACTAGATCTGATGTTGGAGCCCGATTGTGGTTCCATGTCACTGTGCATCAAGTTGGCAAAAGTCGTTCTAAAAATT